TATGATAAATACATTCAAGAAATTCAAGTTGCCAACCATCCGAATAAGAAGTGAAATTGACAGTCGCTTTGAACTTATGAAATTGTTTCTGTAGTTCGTCAGATCTGATAGTGATTCATCATGTGTTCATTGATCATTTCTCGCATTGAGGTCAGCTGTTACGTGTTTTGATTTCACTGTATCAGGCCTTTTGTGTAACAACTTCCTAAGACATCATTTGCAGGATGTGACTATTGCATTTATCTGTTGTGTTGTGTGTTAATTAAAATACCGAATATATCTTTTATTTTTACTCTATGACTTTTTTTCTTTCAAAACTATATCCATATTTCAAAGTTTCTTTATCTATATAGTATTTATAGCCATTGATTGGAAGCTTTCCGCTAAGAATAGAAGGAAATTTCTTCAATGCAGTCTTTGTTTAAACTAAGTGTGTTTCAATATGAGTTAAAAAAAATTGCTTTGCATTTTATTTAAAATTTATTGAATAAACAAATAAATAAAAATCCGACTGAAATAAAAAAAAAAAGAGTTATTTCTTCCCATTCAATGCTTCGAACTATGATATAAGTTTTCCTAATTAGTATTCTATGTTTATATACAGTGTATACAGAACCCTGACTGAGTCAGTAGATTATGGCCATTGAGCAATGTATGGAACGCCGTCACTGCCTTATAGCAGAACACTACAATTGCATTGTGTCAACTTTCCATTACATTATGTCCACACTTTGTGACATTTACTTACAGTACTATTGCATTGAGTCAACTTTCCATTACATTATGTCAACTCTTTATGACATTAATCCACTCTACTATTGCATTGAGTCAACTTTCCATTACATTATGTCCACACTTTGTGACATTTACTTACAGTACTATTGCATTGAGTCAACTTTCCATTACGTTATGTCAACTCTTTATGACATTTACACACACTACTATTGCGTTATGTCAACTTTCCATTACATTATGTCAACACTTTATGACATTTACACACACTACTATAGCGTTATGTCAACTTTCCATTACATTATGTTAAGTCTTTATGGCATTAACTCGCACTTCAGTTACATTGCGCCAATCTTCCATTGCATTATATCAGCTCTTTATGACATTAAGTCAAAACAATTTTACGTGGTGTAAAGATGTTTTTATATAATTTCAACTCATTATTACATTATGTGCACTCTCTACTATTTGGTGTAAGTAGTTCGATTACATGATGTGAATTTATCTTTAATTCAATATCAAGTTGCTATAACACGATGTCAGAATTTCATTTCATGATGTGAAAAAAATTGTCACATTGCGATGTAGCCAATTCTTTACTATACTGTGTCATCAATATGCTACATGACGACAGGAATCTATTACATGTCAATTTTCCCTTACTTTTTGACAAATCATTATTATGTTATGGCATTGTATCTTTACAATGTGTCTAAAATGCTTAGCCTCTTGTCAGTATATCCTAGAATATTTCAACAATTTCGTTTTGTGTTTTCAATATTACATGCACATATGTTAAACATGCAAATAATTTAAATTAAACTTATCAAATATTAAATTATACACAAGACGTAATTAATCCTTAATTAAATATCAGGTTAAATTCATGAATAGGATCATGTTCCCATGGAATCTTTACTGACGATTGTTTTTTTAACGTCGAAATTCAATGGCCGTTTAATCTCATATAATTATTGCAAATCAAATAGTATGTGTCATGCAGCAATATATTTTTTTTTATTTTGAATTATTTTGAAAAGTCCGAAACTTCTGAACTAACTACAAAACACTGTCCTAGTCCTAAGCTTTTTATCAGTCTTTAACCCTCCTTTTAAAAAAAAGTGTAAATACATCGTATTTCATACGTGCACTGGTTGGTCGGTGGGGAGAGGGGGGATCCCGCCCTCCCATCTTTAGTGACTAAAATATGCATGAATTTAATCAGTTGATTTTACTTTGTAGGACATTGCATTAGTTTTATACATAAAGTATAACTGAAATAAGTTGACACGTTTTATTTAAAAAAATATATAGCCTGAGAGCTTCCGGGCTTCCACCCCCTGGTCTCCAACTTAGACACCATATCGTCCCCCTATAGCTACTCTTTTCAAGAACCCAAGATCGCCACTGATATAAGCCCATGTTCAATTGATTAAAGTGAGGGACTGGTAGATTTTTGTAACAGAATTCTGGTCCAAGAATGGTTGAAAAATGACTAATTCCAGTGACGTTGCATCGTTTTTGAAAGTTGGGGGAGGTTTGTCAGCCAGAAAAAAATAACGTTCAAGAAAAAGCAAAAAAAAAAAAAAAATCCAAACTCGAAAATCCTATTTCGGGTGAAAGGGGGGGGGGGTCCAACTTCGATCAGTCCTAAAAAAATGTCCAAATATACTACATTACCCATTAACTTCAGCATAAAGTGGTGCTAAATTTCAATGAACATTTTCTATGATCAAGTTATGTCGGAAAAAAGAGGAAGTCAGACCCCCCCCCCTCATATAACGTGTCTGTAATTTGTCCTAATTAATCAGGAACCCCCCCCCCCCTTCCCAGTCGTGAAAACACGGTTATCAACTTTGACATAATGTAAATGTATTTTACAGCACGTAATGAACATTTGTAATCAACATGATAAAGAATTAACACAATGTAAAGATAGTTTTAAATCACATAAGAAAGAGTTAGCATATTCTTATTAAATATCCACATAAAGGAATGGTGTTTTGACATAACGTAATAAAGTGTTGATATAATATGGAACGCCAGGACTGTCTCCATAATTCATGTTCACATTATGTTATAAACCTTTTAACATCAGGTTATAAAGCACTGACATAAAGGTAAGATGTATTCACCTCACATTGTGATGACCTTGGCGTAAAATAAAGATACATTAACATCACGTAATAATGCGTTGTTATAATAGAAATATACACTCACGAAAGGAAATGGACTTTGACTTAATGTAATGATAAATTTAATTATACAACACATGTAAAACGAAATTAACTTGACGTAATGCAATTTTGACCTCACATATTAAAGAAATGAAATAATATAAAGAAACATTCATTTAACGTAATAAAGTTTTAACACAATGTAAACATAATTTCACCTCACATAATGAACTTTGGTCTTCAAGTTATAAAGTGCCGACATAATGGAAGAATGTGTTTACTTCATGTAATGCAGCATTGACATGATGTAAAGATTTTTTTACATCACCCCATAAAAGTTGACATAATGTAAAGATATGTTCACATCATGTAATGATAGAATGACATAATGAATGCATAGTTTTATGCTATAAGGCAGTGATGGCGTTCCATAGCAATGTGTGATAAAGCTGTTATTAACTGGATTATGCACTTTCGTATTTAGTGAACGTTGCACATACCTATATAACTTATTTTCAACCAACGACCCCGAAGCAAAGACGATTTAATGGAAAAAAACGTAGGTCTACAGAAAGCCCATAATATAGGTTCAATAACTTATGGTGTGGATTGTATTAGGAACACATTTCAGTTTCTAAATGGTACAAAAACGTACATGAACATAATATGCAGAGGGGAATGTAATGTTTGTTAAAAAAACGTCTGACTTAAAACTAAACCCAGTAGTCGTCGGAATCAAATTAAAAAGGGGGAGGGCTAAAGCAACAAACACAAGTATGGGGTATGAGCCACAATTATCCACGCTTATATTATGTCTATCCTCCCCCCCCCCCCCCCCCAAAAAAAAGTTGACCGTTCCCCTGGCTCCGACGCCATATGGTTTTCGTCACTAAATTAAAAATTTTAATAAAAATATCTTTAGTGACCAAATTTAAATATGATGAATGTTGGTATGTAAATTTGGTTTCACGTTTATCTATGTAATGTGTCTTAAGACTAGCAAATGACTGCCATCTAAACCCGTTACAAATAATATCCCCCCTTCCTCTGCTTTGTGGTTAAAAAAATATCGTCGTTCGGATATCGATTGTATGTGATAGAGTTGTCTCTCCTTGACCACGTCAAGAAAAAAAAAGGGGGGGGGACTCCACATTGTCGGAGAGAATATCTGTGGACTGGTTGCAAGGAAGAGAAGAAATAAAATTACACTGATTGCATGCGTTTATTAAACATTAGGTATTTGATATATGTGCTCAACATTAAGAAATTATCAGATTTTGTTAGATTATAGATAGACCTACCCTATATGAAATATTGGAACAGTGTTGGATCGAGGAAAAAAAAACTAACTAAAAAATCTGTTCATCCTAATTCCTCTTATAAGTAAAAGAAGTATAGTCTTAGAATATTGAAGATGTATCAAGTTAAAAAAAAAAAAGAAACCTTGAAAAATATTTAAATTTTTTGACATAATGAAAACCAAACGATTTTCAATTTACCTAATGCAAAATATATATAATATATATATTATATATAAGGTTCAATAGTCTTTACGTTGATACATATTTGAAATTTCATTAATGAACATGACGCGGGCTTTCTAAAATATTAATAAGATGCCTTTGTTTTTAATCAGCTGTGTGTTGGCAAACCACCGGATTGAGCCCGGGTTTTAGAATACCACAATCACGTCAATCGGCAATCCTCGGCTGACTCCGCTACGCTCCATTCAAACCTCGGATGTGATTGGTGGAGGAATACGCAACAGATCCTTACATTTCTCCGCCGGAAACTGCCTTATCACTCATTTCATATTTCGCTCTGCATAACGTTCTTCGAAAATGTTTCTTAATTTGTGCAATTCTTTATCGTAAACAGGTTTTGATTACATCCTCATGTTAAAAGGCTTTGAAAGCAAGAAGAAACTGTTGAGTGTGCCAAAAAGTAACTCCGATCTCAAAAGTATGACATTTGAAAGAAATTCAAATAAGATCACATGACTGAATCAGCAAGATGGTAGATCACCGTTGACGTCCGAGGTTATGTGCGAGGTACGAGTCATCCGAGGATCTCCGAGTGCAATCACGTGACCTAATTTTTAAGCAGTTTGGCGGATATCCAGTGTGTATCGATGTGAATAGGTATACGTTGAATCCTGTTAGTTTTTAAATCCATTTAAATGTTTTATTTAAAGTGCAGATTATTGGTGGGTAGAAATTTTATTTTGAATTTCATCTTTATCTCATTTTTGACAGTGACAGGAAGATGTTTTTGATGTACGAAATTCCCAAACTATTTTCCATCCGATGCCTGCTGGAGCTTGCATGGAACTGATTTCTTTGTAAACATACAGGTAAATATTGTTGTCGATTATGAATGGCCCATGATTTAACAATGATTGGTATGAAAACAATGCGTGTGATTGTTATTTTGGGTAATATTTGAGCTGTCAATGCGAAATATTGTTTGCATCGGGTGCTACAGTTAAGTCGCTACAACGCTTGTTGTTAGGTACGCTAAGGACCTCGTGAGTGATAGAGAAAATCCGGGAAAAATGGTAATTTTGTGAAATTCACTTCTAGATCTAAGTGTGTGTGGATAATATGTTAAGTAATATTTGCTCAGAGCATAACTTAAAGTAGAGTACATTGCCATTTGTGTTCTCACATATACTAAAAGTTATTACAGTATTTTAATTTATAAATTTCCACCTGAAAGAAACTGACTCATACATTATTTGTTTACATAACAGGTTAGGTTAAAGAGCCATTTTACAAAGCTGGATTTCTAAACCATTATAAAAGCTTTACTACATAGTATTTATTAAACTACCCAAAAGTTATGTCTATATATTGATAAATTTAAATTAAAGTGAAATGTAACCATTCTGTTGCCTTATTTTCACATTCAAGTAATATCATCATTTTAATTTATTTTCAAAAATCTGATCTTATCTATGACATGAAAGACTGGTATAATAACTTCTAGCATATTTTGATTAAATCTACATAAGTTTCAAAATATTTAATTAAATTTGAATGTACACATCATATATAACATAAACATTTGTTGCTAGCTGCTGCCTGCAAAATGGAGGTCCACAACAGGCGGCCTTACTCCAGACTGAGCCTGAAGGAGGAGTTTGATTTTGATATCAATGACATCAGCCGGGCCTCCACTCCAACCAGTACCATGAGCTCAAAATCTGAGGGGCGGAGACGAGAGAAATCACACAGGAGTCACTCGGTGGATGACTACAAACGCAAAATAGCACGACTTAAAAGCGAGTTAGAGGCCGAAAAAGCAAGGACCAAACAGATTTATCGTGAAAAATCCTCGGAAATTAAGTCTCTTCAGGAGGCGTACAAGAAAGACAAGGAAAAGGAGATAAGCAAATTAGAGACAAAGTTAAGTCAGGAGAAACAGAAGGAGATAGAGATCATACAGGAGAATATAGCCAAAAAGAAGGACAAGGAATTACAAGAGGTGCTCAAGTAAGGAGGTCTAAATTATTATTATTTATAGACATAAAACATGGTAAACTGAAAGGGTAGGTGTATTTACATTCATAAGTTAGAAATCTAAAAAATCTTTAACTTACATGAAAGTCTACTTAGCTTTTGATTTTCATGCAAAGTGACTTAAAGTCAAACCTTGTTCTCGGACAAGATAGGACCAAAAGAAACTTCTGGATTCGAGATATTAGAGTTAAAATACTTTAAGGAAAAGATAGTTTAAAACTTTGAACATCTAAGTCACTTTCACAAATTCATTGCAGAGTTTCCGAAAACTATGGGTCCTATCGGCAAAACCGATAGAAAATCGAAATGTCCGATGAAATTCGCTAAAGTATCAGTCCGTGTGACCGATTGTGATGAGGGCTTGTCTTGATTAATTTATTGTACTCTGATCTATTGCAATGTCTTCATAAATGAAAATTTTCAATGCAGCTGCTCCTATTCTTCGTAAATATCTATAATCTTATCCATTTTGCAATTCTACTTGACTTATTTACTTCCAAAAGCGATCGTTTTTTTTCTAATCCGAATTTCCTCCATTAATGGTAAACACATGCAATATATATATATATATATATATAGGTCACGAAGTGCAATGCCCATTGAGAAAACTTAAAGTCAAGATAATTTAAATTTAATTTTACTTTGAATTTCTATCATAACTGTTAAATTTTACAAGTGAAAATTAAACTTTTAATTTTGAAAAGAATTGTAAAATTTTTTTCTTTTTCAAGAATTAACTTTTTTCACAATTACTGTATATTCTAAAATTTATTCGGACTGATAGAGTATGCTTCGGACCGGTAGAACGCATTAAGTCATCAGTCCGGATGACTGATAGAAATATTTGGTTTTTGGAAACTCTGCATTGTTTTCTTTCAAAATATCATTGTTCAAGATACCAAAGTTTAAATGTATATCTTTTATCCACCTACAGAAAGAACTTGACATATAAAAGCTAAAATGAATTAAGATGTTTTAATTATTATTTAAAAAATAAAATTATATAGGTACAAAGAGGAGGAGGTCAAAAATCTCAGGGAAAAGTTTGAAGAGGAGAAAACTAAGGCCCTTCAGTCGGTTGTGGAGTCAGAGAAAAAACAGTACGAAAAAAATGCAGAGAAAATGTCCAAGGAGATCGAAAAGCTAAGGGAGGAGAAAAAGAAAATCGAGGCCGATTTCAAGAAAAAATGTGAGGACCAAACGCGCAAGGAAAAAGAGTTCTCTGAGGTCAAAGAGGGCTATGATGCAGAACTTCGAAAGATACTCAACGAATCCAAAAAATTTGCATTTGGGAATTTACAAAAACTCAAAAAAGCTGAAAAGGCATTAAGTGAGGGAATAATTTCAGAGGATGAGGTATTATCTATAACAGAATCGATTAGTCTCAGGGGAACTCCGTTTTCGGAGATTTCTAATCGCACTCCTAGTCGTCCCTTAGCCCTTCGCACAGCAGAGGATTTAGAGATTGAAAAATATCTAGCTTCTGCCACCCCATCTCCACACCCTGGATCCACACCTCTGGGAAAGTCAACTCCTGGATCCATTTCATTAGGGAGGTCAACTCCTGGATCCACACCCCTTGGAAAGACTTTTACATTGGATGGAAAATCACCCTTTCGTTATATTACTGTTCAAGAAAAAACTGACGAAGAAGACCAAAGCAAAGAGGTAAATTAAAATACATTGTATTTAAAACATGCTTGCATATACATTTTTATTTTTTCAATTTCATGCCCTTTCTGGGTAATATTGTCCTTGCTTTTATCATGTTTATCCTCAGTTTATGACTGGTGATCTTTAATTTTTAAAAGGTTTGATTTTAAGTTGAAACTTCCAATCCCATGGGAAGTAGCCTTATCAGAACTTGGATAACTTAATAACATATATTCTCTGACTCAACAGAACTTTTAATATGAATCATATACACTTGAAACATGAGTAGAATATGAAGGAAAGAGAGATACACTGTTGATTAATATTATTAAAGTAGGTTCGTTTCAGTCAAAATCATATTAAATAGGAAATGCATGTTTATTTATGTTAAAATTATTCTATTGAAATCTCTCTATCATTATGGATGTTGATGAAAACTCCCATTAATTCTTTTGTTCTCTTCAACACCAGAAAGCACATTTTTTATCTGAATTTATGAATTCTTAATCATATTAATATTAAAGGTGTAACGGCACCATAGAGAAAAAGTTTTAATTTCATATAAATCTAACGTCATGTGTGTCCATAAAAATATGTTGGCATCAGATATCTATGTGAAATGAACCAGATATTCTTTAGTGTAAAATTCAGCATCGCACCTGTACATTTGACTTGTAAATTGTATAATGGGTATATTATGCCTGTCCTAGCTAGGCAGGGTATTGATTTTCTGACACTTTCACTTGATTGATTATTGCGATGGTAAGCACATGTGATCATTGTCGATTTTACGGAAGTACATCAAAATGTACTTTAATGTGGTTTTCTTGCTTGTTTGGAATTAAAGGTTTATCAGAAGTTTCTTGTTAACTTGAAAGATGAAAGCCCAAAATTTTCCTTTGTAATATTTCACATTCTTTTATTCACTGAGTGTAGCATGATATTGATGTCATGTTCCAACGAAAACTTTTTGCAATTGGTAAGCCATATTCCAGTGAAACTCGACAGTAACTTTAGCCGGTTTTGTTTTGATAGACATACTGTTAAGTACGGGGGATTTTAGAACAGGACCTGTGAAAATTATAATTTGGGCATTAAAATTCCTGATCAGCATTTTTGGCATGGCCCCAGAGAAGTTAAAAAGTTTAATAGCTTTATCAAATTAATGTTTGGTTTTACTTTCTAAGACTAGTGGCATAGCCAATTATGGAGTGGATAAAAGTCAAACTTGGTCTTTTCTTCTGGATTTTTTCCTCTACTTGTTTGGCAAGAAAATTCAAATTTATCTTGTATACCGCTGGGTCAATTGATTATCCTTGTGTGAATTAAGGGATGAAAAAATCAATGAAAGGTTCCTTGCCAATTATTTTATTAAGAAAGATACCAAGAATTTAGTTTAACCTTTCCACAAAAAAATGTTTATATATATAAATTAATCTATCAACCCTTTAGGGACTAAACTTAAATCAATCATGCATTATTTTCAATGAGAAAAAATGGCATTGGATATCATGGATATGATTGATAAATGCAACAGATATTGCAAGAAAAAAAGGAATTTACACCACTTTCAAAATTCCTTTGAGACTTGATGCCATTTTTGAATTTTTTGATAGCCACAGTTTCTGTAGTAGTCCATCATCATGATCATAGTTCCACTGAAATAGAAAATTTTATGTACTGGGACTTTTATCTCTAGAGCATCAAAGGATGTAATGTGTATTTACTACAATGGCAGTGGAGTACTACACATCTTAAAGTTTAACAAAATATTTAGCAGTATTTAGGTAGGGTCCATAAAATATTTATAAAGCAGCTTAAGTCCTTCAGAAGTTTTCGTGATACTGTTCAATTTGTATTTTGGTTGTAAATTTTGATTTCCTAATTATGTTTATGAACACGATGAAGGAAAGCGAGCCAGGTCATTTTCTGCCAAATTTAAGGTGCGTCAATGCAGGTAGTTTGGGAGAAGGCCTTATCAGACCTATTGTTTTTATTTACACATACGCGTATACATACGAAATCAAACGCACTTAATCCCATTGTGTCTCTTTAAACTCCAACCCAAATACTCGGGTAAAGTTTTGTTATAGTTTATTTACTAATGACCCTCTGTTCAGACACAAGTTTCGTTTACAATTTGAAGCACGCCAAATGAATTTTTTTTGTTGGAATTTTTAAATGTCGGAGACCATTCAGTTAATCCCTGTGAAGAATCATCTAATGGAGAAAAATTATTGGGCTGTATCTGATCCCAGTACCATTCAGGGACCTTTATGTTTAGGTTTTGATGGACTTATATTTCCCAATTCGAAAAATGCTTCTGTCATATCATCGTGATCATGCCATTGTTATGTCAGAAACCAGTGTGCGTCCATACACAAAAAAGTACATACTTGACATGTATATATTTAGCTCCTATCCAAATACTTTAAAATTTATAACTAATGGATTGACAATTTTTTGACAAAAGGTTTATATAAGAAACAGAATTTAATCATTAGTCAGTATAATGAAGTTTAAATGTCATAGGAATTCTTTATATATCTTTATAACAGCAAAATTCCGAGCTCAAGCACTCAGAAAACAAAGTAAAAATTTATAAACGTAAATCTTTTTCCTGAACAATATTCTTAAATAAAATTTGTTTGAAATTTAAACTAGGCGTGCAGAGTTTCCGAATCAGAATATTTCTATCATGCTGCAGTCATTCAGTGATCACTGTTCTGCCAGTCCGAAGCAAATTTTATCAGTTCAAACAAAGTCTAATATAATTCATGATGTAATTAATAAGAATATGGCATGGGTTACATAGGAAAAGGAGACTTTTTAACCGTCATTTAAAATATTGCTGTCGCCTGCATGGCAAAGTGGTTAGAGCGTCTGCTCTAGAGTCGCAAAGTAAGAAGTCGATCCTTATTTTGCGGGTTTGAATCCCACCGTGGGACGTGGAGACTGGTCCTTTGAATGAGACCTTATAAAACCGAGGTCCTGTGTCACAGTAGGTGCTGGCACAGAAAAAGACACCTCACTGCTCAATGGCCCTGAGTGCTGTGTATAAGACAAAATTTGTAGCTCTCCACCGGCAAGTGGTGGCGTCTCCATTTAAGTGAAAATTCTCGAGAGGGACATTAAACAACATACATCAATCAATAAAATATTGCAATATTATAGCAATACAGTTAAAAATAATGTAATATATTTATATATCACAATATGAAATTTCCAGTCGACACTTAGCCCTAACGGTACAACAAAAAGTAAAAATAAATTGGATTGATAACACAGAAATTGATAGGTCATATGGACAAATCAAATGGCAAATTGCATCAGAAAATTCAATTTACTATTGGTTTTGCCGGTAGGACCAATGGTTTTCAGAATCTTTGCTGCCTCATATTAATGCTTAGAAATGATCATCAATTTGTAAATTCCGATTCTATCACCATGCAATTTTGACAGGCGAGAAAAAGGTATGCAATATTCCGTGATTAAAATTTTTAAATGGATGTGCAATTGCTCAGGAACTTTCAGTCAACACAAAGTAGAAAACAAGTACTCGATAACTAGTCAAAAAATTTTAGGCCTAAGATCTTGTTTATATATATGGATAATGCAGCATGCAAAATCAGGGTTTGGCATGTTCATACATTGTTTTGCAGTGCAAGGTATTTTGAAAATTTTGAGTAGAAGCTTTTCTAAGGACATTGAAATGAAAAATTTGGCAAACATACAAACACAATGGCCTTCTATGTCCCATGATAACCCAAAACAAGAGTATTTTTAAAAAGCTTATTGGTATTTTGAGTTGTAAGGTGTGAAAAGAATTTTCTTTGTAGGAAAGAGAAGTACATCAAATTCAAAGCCTATTGTTGAGACGTAATCTAAAATTAATTTTTTATGACAATGGTATTAGAATAAGACTGATAGTATTCTTATTGTGGTGGTATTAAAAAGTTCTTTGTGAATATATCTTTTACAGTGCAGATAAATTAATTGGAATAAAATATGAAAAAGTGACAACTCGGACACATATAAATTTAAAGATTTATTTTCTCAGTTGTAAATGTAAAGATTTTAGGAATGCACAAGAAAGATGGATCATTCTAGTTCATTTTTAGCTCACCTGAGCCTCAAGTGAGCTTTTCTGATCACATTTTGTCCGTCGTCCGTCTGTAAACTTTTCACATTTTTGACTTTTTCTCAAGAACCACTGGGCCAATTTTGACAAAACTTTATACACAGCATCCTTGGGTGAAGGGTAGAGTTGGGTATTGCGAGTGAAAACCATATTGCGATATATTGCAATATTTTACGTTGAATATTGCAATATATTGCGATATATTGTAGATTTATTATCATTAATAAATTTGTACAGAAACTTTAAAATGCTGTCAAGTTCAAAGACTATTTAAATTTATCTATAAATTTTAAAGGAGACGGTGGATAAGACACGAATCGTTCACATAATTATAATAACTTTTAATCAAAAACCAGGTAAAAAATTAAACAAAATGTACTCATTTGATGTATTTTCAAATTGAAAAAAAAGTTTATGCATAGTTTATTCTTCATAGTTTTTTTTTTTTTTGGGGGGGGGGGAGTTGTTTTATTGAAATAGCATAAAATGTAATTTAATGATTAAAACAATACATACTATATAGAAATTTTATGTGGTCACAGAATAAAATTAAAGCCAGAAAGAAATTGTGACCTATTTTCGGGCGTTTAGTGTTTTAGTCTGACCCGAACTAATTTCACATTATGACATACGATCAGGAACTGCATAGGCCTGTTTCTTTTGTTTTAATATACATGCTCCTGGTAAAGCATGAAGGTGTTTAAAATGGCAAGAAACTTGTTAAAAAATAATAAAAAGCAACACTGTATCAAGTGAAAACATGGATGGCCATTTTATGTGTAATATGTATCTTGAACTTAACATTCATCGTCGATCATGTAGATTCCATGAGATTTTGAGAACCGCATTACACATGGTATACACCCTGTAGAAA